GAAGGGCAAAGATGATTTGGCGAACATTCTTGACAAGGTACCACGAAAATTCCTATTAAAACACCGAAATGTAAGCCTTTATTGCCCACATAGGTTTCAGGTTAATTTCAAAAACTTAAACAATTTTCCAGAAAAATGCACTTGTTGCATTAAAGGGTTAATTAAATAGCAAAATCCGAAGTTTCCCGGTGGAACACCAACTTACCAGTATTTATAGACGAATGAAATAAACAGAAAAAATGAAAGATAAAATCGTAGCTCTATTTGAATTGAATTTTTTAAATATTTAGTTAGTTATAGATACATTTTTTTAAGTTTAAAAACAGTTTATGTTAACATGATATAATTCATTTTAATTGTTTTGTTTTCATTAAATTTTATTTAAAAATAATAATTGATATTATTATTGTTTTCTGCAACAAAAAAAACTACTCCTTTATGTTAATTTGTTTCAAAAAAATCTTTTGGAATATATAATAGTTTTTGTTTGTTTTGAAACTTACTAAACGGCGGACGAATTGTCCTTGCAAAGTATGTAGATGAAAATGTGTTGTAGTGTTTTACAAATTTTATGCACATTTGCATGAAACTTTTACAACACATGTAATGTTTGATAATATTAAGGTTTTTTTGATAGGTATCACCAAAAATAAAAATGATTCAATGTAAAAAGATACCAAAAATTAATTGGCATTTTCGTAAAAAATGTGCGAATTTCATTCTTTTTTTTTTTGAAAAATGAAAAAACTATGTAAACAAAGAAACAAGAAAAATTGTCTATATATTATCAATTGATATATTCCATAACATATATTTTATATAAACATGCGTCAGTCTGAATTAATTTTCATTCTGGTAGCTTAATTCTGCATGCTTTGTTATCCCTGTGCCCTTTTGACATTTAAATATTAACTACTTCTGTTGAGCGCAAATTAAGGCGGCGTGCCTCATTTATGAATCCGTTATATAAAAGGTACTCGGTCGTACTTGTTTCGTCAAAGTAAACTCGCACGATTGTCGTGATTAATTATGTTTCATTTTTAACTTTAACAGTCTATTGACGGTTTACATTTTCTATTGATTTACTTAACAAAACTAAAATCAAAGGTAATCAATAATAAAATGGTTAATTGAGTCTATTGAAAAATTTAAAACGTAAATGCAGTCCTATTTAAGGAAAATTGGTATTTTACAATTAGGAACGCAGTTGTAATTGGGCGAAAAAAGAGCTGAAATACCATACATACGATTTCAGGATACTTGACCTTAAAGTTTACATGTATTGTAAGCATGCATGTACACTGTCATAAGACGTTTACTTTAATACTAACTATATTCTATATTACAATATTAAAAAGCAGATACTCGTAAGTTTCATATCTTAAAATGTATTATACACTCGTATCTTCCTTTTCATCACATTCTTGTTTATTTTTATCATGATTATATTCATTTGTTAATACAAATTTTAATTTTGATATATTTTATATCAAAAACTTTCAGTTTCTACAAGTCCGTTGGGAAATAAGGATGCGATCTTAATATTCCTACGGGAAATCATTATTTTGTTGAATTCTCATATATTTGATTTATTCACAATTTCCCATGTGCATATTTTTGTTGATAGTATTTGCCTTTACTAATATCTTGTAATGATTTTGATTTGAAATAGTTTCTTATAGAAAAACAGTATGACTTCAAGGGTTGTTATATTTTTCTGGTCGTTCGGGATCATTGGTGCCAGTGCTATTGAGTGTTGAGAATTGAGTACCGCTCAAGCCGGTGTTAGGGGGCGGGAGGGATGTTGCACGTATTCATTGTCCTTCATGTACAGACTCAATCAAACCGAGTCTGCAATTCTCTTGTTATTTTGTTGTGATTAATTCTTCCGAGGGATCACTTTGTTCACGTATTTTTATACTACACAACAGTAGGGGGTCAAGTATTGTGTTGCAGTTGTAAAAAGTTGCCCCGTACTTCACTTCATTGTTCTTATATTTTTCTGGTCCTTCGGAATCATTGATGTCAGAACTTTTGAATGTTGAGAACTGAGTACCGCTCAAGCCGGTGCTAGTGATTGTGAGGGATGTTGCACGTATTCATTATCTCTCGTAATTATTGGCATTGCTGTGCTGCAGCACTTTTATCAGTTCCTGGGCAATCAATTGGGTGCTTTAATCTTCATATATATGTTCTTTTTAATACTTTATAGCAGTTAAGGGGCGTGACTAAAATTGATTTTTGCATAAATAATGACAAACGTAGATGCTTAATCGTGATAAATAACATATAACTTACCAATTATCGGTTTATTTCACATTAATGTTGTTTAATTAAACTTAGTAGCGCGGATTCTTTGTGAAAAGAAATGTATTTTATATACATTTTTAAGTACATGAATGTTAATAAGTTTCTACGAAAATAAAATGCAAATAAGTCATCTGCTGACCGGTTGACACATGCTTTTGGCCGAGGAGCAGCCAGATTACATGATTGGTCAATCGTTGAGTTTTCGAGGACAGGGTGGCATTAGATCGGTGATATCGGAGCTGCTCAGTATAAAATATATATTTGGCTTTTTATCTTGTTTTTTTTTCCCTTTGAAATTTAAATTTTTGCCCCTTTTTTTTTTTTGGGGTTTCCCAAGGGTTTCCCCCCCCCCCCCAACCCTCCCCTTTTTTTGTCCCCCCCAAATTTGGTGATTTCGTCAACGCCAGCCACCGATTAAAGGGTTTGTTCATAAATCGATACCAGTTTTAATACAGATAACGTTTTGACAAAAAAAGAACCGAAAATGAAATCACACATGACAACCGATGAAAAGGTGAGTAACTTTAACATGGAGGCTGACAGTCTGTGTAACTGAGCCATTACACATGCTCAGTCTCAGAGCTATATTTAGAACGATATACAACGAGCTTCATAACCATTCTTCTTTAAATCCCTCGAGGAGTGCACGTCGCGGAGAAGGTAAACGGCAGGTCTAGGTCAAGTAACATCAAGTACCAGAGACGATTTGTTAACCTGTTGTTACTAGCTCAGGAGGATGGCGCTAAAAACTAACAAGAATCGTTTTGTTATTATGCCATTTGAAACGTAATGCCTTAGAATTATTGTCATTCCCAACGACGAAGCACAGGTCAAGGAAGATTCAGTTTGAAAAGTCGCCACTGATGTGGGTTCTACGATGGAACCAGCAAGTGTGCAGATAATTTAGCCTATATGATAAGTTCCGCGGCCAGTATGAATAAATGTATCTGCACACTCAATCATGACCATTCTGCGGCCATTCTTCTTTCTTCCCCTCCCTCGGAGCTTACAGGCCTTAAAGGCCCAGGTCATCGGTGGAAGATTTGAGGAAAAACCTAGGACGGCGAAAAAGAAAACCGAAACTTGTATCTTGCGGACCAGCTGCCGATGTCCTGACAAAGACCGAAAGTAGTGGCCCTTAAACGTAGGCAGGGAAAACAGGGTGTGTACCAGGGTTCCTGAGCCCCTAGAACATAGAGTGATGCTTTGAAAGGTAAGCCATTTTCTGGCATTACAGCCCTTTTTCATATTGTCTAAGGTTATTTTACATTAAGGTTCCCATGAGAATAATTTTCCGTGAAAATAACATGGAGGTAAATTATCACCCCTTCAAGGGAATAACTGGTGATATGACATGGGTGTACTCGACAGCGAAAGTTTAAATGACTGTCTGTTCACTTGCAAATTTATGGTATGGTTACAATGGGGCATAAAATCTTTATTTGCTCCTATTTGTTTACCATGCGTGTATCTTTGTGTACATAAAATTGTTTTGTAATGCGCATTTACACCGTAAACAATTTTTGTTTGACTGTAATATAAGGTATTCTGTTTGCGACTGTTGTTGAAAGATGATAAAATCTTAAAGCAGTTTTAATACCCTATCTTAGCGAAAACTATCATGCAAAAGCATATAAAATTGATAAAAAAACTGCCGTATTTTCTTAACAGTAATTTTTTGTTTTGGGTTGCAACGTATAATATTGTCTAAGATTTGAACTCGCAACTTATTTCAACAATTATCTCGTTTTCCCTCATTTGCAAACTACAAATATTATTACATATTGCTTTTCTATCATTCTATTGTTAAACAATAATCTAGAAATCCATCGAAATTATTAAATGTAAATATTGCAAAAACAATCGAGCACGTGACACCTCAACCCATGTTTGGAAACCTAGAAATACTGCCTTTAGTAAATACTCTCTTTATACAGATTAACGCTTGAAAAACTGGGGAAACTCCTATTTAGAACGAATTTTATATATACGAGTATATATGATACTACTTTTTTATTCCAGGTGTTTAACAGTAAAAGGAATACAACTATAAAGTTTGACATGAAAAAGACTTTAATAACACTGAGTTTGTAAATGATAGAAATAAAATCACAGTGATTTAATTGAAACAGATTAACAAATATATAAACATAAATCTACACAATTTTAATATATTCATTCAATCACTTGTTGACTATTGTCAAGTTACATACAACATGAATAATTAGTAAACACTAAACTAGATGCACTACAGAACTACACGCAGATACAACTCTAAAAAGAACTATAATCACAGACAACAAAATTTTTGAACGAATATCAAATATGTCCAAAAAATGCTTTTAATTCATTTCTCAAAAAGCTTTTTTTTATTTTTCGTGTCGTTTTATAGTTTCCAGAATTTTACTCATTGGCCAAGTACCTGAAACAACATTTGCACGTCTTGCTTTTGTTCATTCACATAGTTATAGTGATTTGATATTTTGTATGTAAGTCAAAACTCTGTTTAACATTTTTCTACTTTTATGACAAATAATTTCACATTCAATGCTACTTTCCTTAGGTAACAAGTATCTTATGCTCTGAAAACATTGAAACATTTTAAAAACTTATGTTTACCCTTTCTATAGATGGAAAAATTCATTCATTTGTGAGTCATAATGTGCCTTTTAGGAATAAATAAACCAATATTACATGTATAATTTATTTTACATAATAAAGCGTATAAGTATTTATATAAAGCCAAAGCATGAAAACAAAATATGTAAATATAAAGACATAATAATGTATCAGTTTTTATAACTAGAGTTATAATCTCTTTTATTCTTCATACATATTCTTCATACTTATTATTCATAGTTATTCTTCATACTTGTTAATGAAAAAAAATCTTTGAATTAAGACACGAGAATTTTATTTACATTATTGCCTTGTTACAAACGTGATTATTTTCATATTATTAGAGGCTTATTTTTAAGTTTAATTAAAAATACAAATTTGTGAATAAGTTAAAAGTTCACACTAAAACATGTCACGTCTGAAAGATAAATGTAGTTAAATAGATTAATGCAACCTTTTTTGTCAATGATTCAACGCACAAATGTTGGTAGTATATATAGAAATAGTAAGAGTTAAACCAGTTTTGCAACAATTTAGTACTTCCTCATCATAAATGGCTTCCTAAATTAAAAGGGTGTGTAAAATGTATAAGATTACGTTTGGTATTCAAAAGTTATGTATAATTTGTAGATAACATTTAATGCATGTTACAAAATATCTTTTATAACAAGATTTTTTATGGTGGAAATGTTTTTACTGAATTCTAAAGCGTAACATCCTGCGCTTTGATGCCCCGTCAATTAAAAACACGGATAATAATTCGAGTTTTCTACATTTTTTAGCAAAAAACATCAATTAAGAAGAATATCTATTGGCATAGATTGCAAAATGTATGTTTTGTAACTCGTTGCATAAGCGCAAACTAGTTTCATGACAAAGCGGGTGTTCATGGATTTATTGCGTTCAGGTTCTCGTAGTCAGATCCTGGCCTGCTGTCAATGTCTAAATCGCTGTAAGTCTCCATTGGCCCCTGACCTTCCTTTGGACTATTTCCCCGTCCCTTGCCAACTTGAAAGTAAACATCATTTTGAACTATCAAAAATATTAAGAAAATATATTTACTGATACATACGTATTATCAGTTTGTCCATGAAAGTTGCCTTAGTCTATTACCTAAAAATCTTACAATAAGACAGAGGAATACGCATGACTTCTATGTAATACCATTGCATTTAACCTGTTCATGATATCCATTAAAAGATTTTATAACTTAAAGAACATTTATCACTTGATTTAAATGTGAATCAAAATGATTTATCAAGTGAAATGTTCCACTGCTTAATACACATCGCATACACAAGAAAAACACGTCAATAACTTTATAATATATTAGTTAATTAAACATTAAAGTTACGTGTTATTGAAAGTTACGTGTTATGTGAGACACAAAAAAATGTTACCTCTGTATGACACGGTGGCATCTCCGATATTCTGACGTTGTGTACATTTTGTAGTCGAACTTTGCTGTGTGTGACTGTAAGATACATATATAAGCACCAAACAAGCACTCAAATATAAACGTATAACGCATTTTCATTGCAATAAAATACGGTATTATGACCTTTGTCAAAAGTTCGTGCACTTTTCACTCAATTGGTCAAAATGACAGGCAACTTTAAATCTTTATAAAATAGCGTTGTTGTTTTTTTGTGTTAGCATAACCGGAAAAGTATAAAAGCTACATTGGTAAGTTAGATACCATTGGAATCAGCAAATATTTACTTGCAACATTGTATATCTTTATGACAGATATAACGAAAAATTAGCGTAAGCGGTGACCCAATGTTACCGTAAACAAATGTTACGTGATCACCAACCCTGAGACCACGTTTAAATGATTTGAAAAATGATAACTTTGTAACAGATACGTTTGCACAGTGCAAGCAATATTTTATCAATGGACTTCCTCGTCGCTTTGAAAATACACAATTGTTTGTTATGACCTTAACTTTGTGATATCATTCAAGAGTATGTATTTTACTGCTTGTTATATAGCGTATTTGGTAATTTGACAACCCTTGAAATATGTTGACATTTTAGGCGCACACGTAGATATATTGTAGTTTAAAAAGATTTGTATTTAACAACTTTTAAATAATGTTTAATTTTGGCAAAAATCTTCAAAATTGTAGTTTTATAAAGTAAAATAAACTAATTATTGAGACAATCTCAACATATTTTCTGATAATCGGGCATGTTGTTTAACGTTTATTCATAAAAGTTTCAATGCTTAGTCAGACTTAAACAAAAATCAGTTGAAATATATTACAAACATTAAGAAGCTTGTAAACGACTGGAGTTTTCGAATAAATTATTATGCATGACTTACCGTCGCATAAAGAAAATAATAAGGAAAACCAACAACGGCACGATAATTGAACAAACAATTAGTACAATTCCAACAATCATCAATGTGTCATTGTCTAAAAGAGAAAAGAGAATATTATTTTAACTGTATAATGAATAAACCATACTTCATAAAGAGATGGAAAGTTTAAAATCATTTTGAATTATCATTTTTATTATAAAGAAAACATAAACTGATAGCCTTTAAGCAGTGTAATATTACCATAAAATAACAATCATGTATGTGTCTTGGAACGATCATGTTTTATTATGCTAAGCATTGCAAAATAAATTACTGGATTCAGACTCTCTTGCGGACAGGACAATGCCCCGGATGTTTTCCTTTTTTCACGTGTTTTCTTTCTTTCTTTCTTTTTTTTAGAATGTATTTGCTTATAAAATGTCTTTGAAACATTAACAATATTGAGTTGCTTGTATAATATTGACAAGAACGATAGGTTATTGTCTAATCATTTCTATTATATTAATTAATCTCAAATATAATTAGTCAACTTAGTTACATTCAATACTTCCGCTTTTGTATGCACCTGGGGATGTCTGTATTCGTATGCGTATATTAAAGGCATTGTTGTACATGATTTATTATTGGTTTTGTAAAAAGAAAATCTTGCGTCATTGAAAAAAAGTAATTCAATATTTCTTGTGGTTAATAAATATTTGATACTGTCATAATAGCGTGGATAATGTTAAATTATAGTGATATTTAACAGCTTAAAGATGTCAAAAACAGAACTATTTTGTTTCAAGGAACTCCACTGAGGTCCAAAAGCCTAAAAAATTGACTTCCCAGAATAGATCAGCATGGACAATTAAAACAGAGAGATGTGCAAAAATAAACAAGAAAAATACTACGAAATACATTGAATAGTATTAGTGCTATTCTAAGCCAGATTCGAGTGAACAAATTTGTGTCATTTTCCCAATTTAAATAATTATGTTGGAAAAACGAATGATTTGAAATTTTGCATACAAGTTATTGGTCTAGACCTACATCGAATTGAACATCAATCTTGAAAAAATTATTTTAACAAACCCCAACGGAGTCCCTTTAAAATGAAGTTTCATATAATGTTTATTTTATTGGCGTCGTTTCTATAACGAAACTATTTCGTTGTTGACGGGCCTCATTCCAAGTGCAGATCCATATGTATTAACAAAGGGAACGCGGAAGTGGAAACATATGAATTAATAAAATTCACATTTATGTTTTCAAAACCAAACATCACATATTTTCAATTAATTACTAACAAAATGTATTTAAAGTGTTTTATCCGGTAGACGGTCTACTGTGAAATAAATCATTCGACGCCTTTTCGTTCCTCTTCAATACAATATGTCCTTCAGATCGGCCTAGAAGAGGAAAAGTGTAGAAAATGAAGATTGTGAACCAAACTTTATCCCGAAAAAGTTTCATATTTCTACCGTGCACACTTAAAATGTTCGAGTTTTTTGTTTGGTGGGTGATCGGAACGCAGTTAACTTACTTGTCAGCTTGACTGTTAATTTTTCATTTCACTTAAATCTCTACAGCACTTAAAAGAGTATAGTAAAATAGCATTATCATATCCGTCATCCATTTTGAATGGTCTTTTCCAACGCCAACACGCATCGACTTTCGGCATATATCAAGTGATAGTCAATGCTAAATATTAATATAAAACAAAGCAAACGAAATGACACGCTTTACAATAAATATTAAATATATTTATGTAAAAAAACACATAACGTAGTGTTCCTATAACGTAACATTTATCACGAGATTTAGTGACGTAAAGAAATAATGAACTGAATCAATAGCGGTAGCGACACAGGGCACTCTTGGGTATCACGCTTTTATGAACTTATCTCGAATATTATCAATTTTATTTATCTCGATTCATAACACGATTATAACTACTTAACCTGTTGCAGTTAGTTCGTTAGTAATGCCCAAGCATTTATCTTGTTCACAAAATCCGGTAACAGCATCACAACATCGGCACTGATCATGGCATTGCAAATGGCAGCTTTTCCCCCATAACCCATTCTTGCACAGTGTACAATGTCCGTCATCCATATTGCATTCAACACATGTATCAGGAGAGCAATTACTTTGACAGTCATGTCCCCAGAATCCAGTCTTACATTTGGAGCAAACCCCGACGGTAGATGATTTATCACACTTTTCGCAATTTTCTTCCAAACATTTATTTTCACATCGCCGTCCCCAATAGCCTGTTTTACAATATGTTCCAGACCTGCAATAGTAATAGTCATCACATTCATAATTACAGTTACCCGAATATTTATCGCAGTCTTGTCTGCAATTTATCGGACATTTTTTCTCGCACGAATCTCCCCAAAAACCTGCGATACAGGATGAGCATGTTCCCTGAGTTTTACTGCATCGACCACAATTTTTCCCGATACATTTGTTTCCACAAACTGTTCCCCAATACCCATTTTTACAAGAGGAGCAGGCAAATCCCTGTCTTTTGTTGCAGTACCAATTTGAACATCTAGATATGTTACAAATTATGTTGCAATATTCTCCTGCATATCCGTCCTGACAGTTTTCGCATAGGCCGGATAAAATATCACACCTTTTGTCATGACAAGTATTACATTGCGTCTCACAGTCCTTACCCCAGTACTCTGTTTTACATTTTTTGCATATTCCTGTATTAACATCACATCTGTCGCATTTTTCTGCGCTACAGAGTCTCGAACAACTAGGCCCCCAATATCTGTCCGGGCAAAGCACACATTTTCCATCTGATTTATTACACATTTCACACGTTCCTGTACATTTCTGTGAACAAGTTTCACCCCAAAATCCTGAAACGCAGTAAGTACATGAGCCAGTACTTTTAGAACAAGCACCGAAACAGTTTCGACATTGTTGCTCGCATTTAGATCCATACCATCCGGTTTTACAAGAACCACAATCGCCAGTTGACTTCGTGCAGTAGCTTCTTGCACATCCTGGCCCTGAAAAGCAAGGCAGTTCACACTCGTTTCCATACCAGCCATTTTTACAAGACGAACATTCGCCGGTAGATTTGTGGCAGTTATAACAATTAATTGGACAAGCTAACTCACATGAATCTCCATGCCAACCTGAATTACACGAGTTACAACTCCCGGTAGACTTAGTACAACTGACACAATTAACGCCACACTTTTTGTCACAGAAATCCCCATACCAGCCGGAATAGCAATTTGGACATTTTCCGTCGTATTGGTCACAAGACGGACATTGGAGATGACATGGTATGTCGCAGTATTTTCCTTGGAAACCGTTCACACATCTATAGCAAAAGCCAGTCGCTCTGTCGCATCCATAAGATGAGCAGAAATCGGGGCAAGTGCTCGTGCAATTTGATCCCCATTTGCCACTATCACAAGCTAATATTTCTTGACCAGCAACTATTAGAAATACAGATCATTAGAATAAGTGTGATTTTGTTTGTGAGAAATGTTATCATGTGTTTAAATGTTAGATCACGTCTTTAAAGTAGAATGCCACATGATTGATGCTAATTTTCAGGAAATTCAATTAATTTTTGTTTTGAATAAAATCATGTGAAGTGAAAAAGAATGTAATTAAGTCATTACAAACCTCACTTTTTTTTATCTACATAAATAACCAAACAAGAGGTCAAAATATGCAAAAATAGCCCGTACTGTGTTAGTCGCGCAGTAGAAAATAAGCGATGAAAATGTTTAAAAATCAGTCATTAATCGCACATTACATAAATTTATGACTTGAAATTTGATTTTTTTTACTTTCCTTTATCATTTATTGAATGTTTTAAATATATTTGGTTCATCTCAGAGTGCTGCTTTAATAAAAGCCAATAAAAAATAAAGTCATACCTGCAGACAAGCACGAGTACATAAGTAACACAGTTATTACAATAAAATCCATCAAAAAGTTAATACTTTTCATATTCAGTACTTTGACTTCAAAGCTATCAAAATGAAAAAGATATGATCTTACGATCACCTTCACACTAAATTTAACTTTAATATGTTCTTTACATTTACATGAAACTAGGAAGTTTGAAATAACTGCGCAGTTAATAATTTTTTGTAATGTAATTGTTTTTGAATTGTGCACTTACAATAACCACATCCATTTTCAAGTTTGAACAAAACCATTTATCCATTTTAAAGGCACATTATACCTCAGAAACGATTTTTTTTTAATTTTTTTAGTAAAAGGAATCATGGGTTTTAAAACATTTAAATAATTGTTTGAGCATGTTACATGCTCGTTACCTCAGGAAAGTAGCACTTAATTTGAAATAGTTTGTCACAAAAGTAGCAAAATGTAAGTAGAGTTGTATTTTGACTTCGATACAAAATACTAAATCACTTAAATGTTACTTATTGCTAAAAAATGGCAGAAGAAAAAAATGGTTCAGGTAATTGGTGAATGAGTTGATCAAATTAGTCAAACTGTTTGGAAACTACAAAAGTACACCAAAAATAAAAAGCTGTTTGAGAAATAAAGAAAAAAGGCATTTCAGAGGCATAATGGACCTTTAAGAAAAATTTCATGATTTGTACTAATTGAATGGCAAATACTGCAGAACATGATAAAACGGGACAAATATACCACGGGATCTATGCACTGTTAGATTAGCTCCTTTGGTAGTGTTGGACTATGAATCAGGCGACCCGCGTTCTATGTATATTAATGTTAATCCGTGCTGTTCTACAGGACTTAGAGCGATAACGATGTGCTCTGGCATGTACAGATGTAAACGCAGAAGTAAAAGCAGTTCCTTGCAAAAGTGAAGACATCAGTACTGGTTAACTCCTTAACAGTCTGTACAGGATCGATACTGTGACTGAAATGTGCCGATGAATTCAAACTGGCTTACTGGTAGTAAACCGGAGGGTAAAAAAGACAACAACAAACAAAACCAAAAGAAAAAAAGAAAATTAACCTCTACAACTTGTAATCTTGGACTTTAATGGTAGCATGGGTAGAATCAGGCCAAAAGTCAATTTAATGACTTGCATATGGGACTGACTCCATCCATTAACACAGCTGTTTTGTCGTACAGCGCTTGTGGAGAATTTAGTTAAATATAACAATATTAATCTTTAAACCTTCTACCCATGTGACCAGTAAAGACCATGATCAGACAGCACATCTGTGTAATCTAATTATGTCCTGCACCCTCATTCAGTCAAGATATGTTGCGAGAAATTTCAAATAACAGTGATAAATGCTTTTGTCCAGATTGAAAAAGTTATTTTGAATGTGTAAAGGATTTTATCAATTCATCACATCTCGGATTACCATGATCAATACATGTTAGAATGAAAGTTGTATACAAATTTTGGTACCGCCTCTGTGGTCGAGGGGTTAAAGTCGATGACTTTTAATGCAGTTACCTCTCTGGCGTGGGTTCGATCCCCGGGAGATGTTTTGATAGTTTAGCGCAGAGGAAGGTAGCTAATACTGGTGTAACTCTCCAGGAACGATGGTTAGGAAACTACCCGCCTATATGACTGAAATACTGTTAGTAAAAGGCGTACAATAAAACAAACAAGCAAAAAAAATGAATTCAAATTTTACTACAAATACACATAATATTGTGCAATTGAAACGGACAGTGTCACATTTGTAAATTTTACACGACATATACGAAGGTTGTTCGCTGTACGATATCTCAAAAGTTTGATTGAAGTTTTCCATATCGTTTCATGCGTATTTCATTCCTTAGAACTATAAGTAATTGTTTACATTACTATACACTTCACCACTAATTGTAATTTTGTGTTGTTATATATGTTTGCATGCACATTTAAAATATAGTTGCTATACTAATTTACTTACTATTACCAGCCTAAAATATCGAGACTTATTCCAAGCATTTTTTCAAAACAAACATCAGATTGTTGTTGAAATTATGTTTCCTTTTCCAAAGTTAGCTAGCGGAAAATCATCCCCAGAAAATCTTCTAACTTCGAATGGAAATTAGCAGTCAAAACAAATTCTGGATTCTACAGGTTAAAGGTAAATTTATATATGATTATAAAGAAACTAATATTTTGGATTCAAGTCATGTAAGGAACTACTAAAAAGCTATTAAACTAATTTTATGCAATGGGTCACAAATATGGTTTTTTTGAATATAGCCAAACTATTGAATATGTGCATAACGATTTTTGTCGAAAACATTTATCGGTTAAAAAAACTACAAATACAGCTATGGTTTTAGGGAAATGTGGTAGATTGCCCTTAAGTTTATAAAGTTATTTGAATCATGAATCATGCTATCTAAATATCAAGGTATATTTAATAATAGAAATACATGTATATCTATTTGAAATCGACTCAGAGACAAGTTCAAGCAACTTACATTATCAGTTTCGGGTTTGATTCCTAGACTTTGGCACTACTGGTGCCATATGTTAAAATCTAGAAAAAGTGTGATCCTGCGAAAGCATTAAATCACAACAAAATTACACGAAAACATGGTTTTGATCCAAGTAGGGTCCGGCCCCATGATCCTTGAACAGAGAGCCAGACATATGTATATATTATATATGAACTTCCATCTGAAGATTTGTGCACCACCAGGATTGGTTTTAAACATATCATTACAGTTAATAATATTAAAGGAGTCCCACTGAGGTCAAAAAGCCAAAAAAATCCCATCAAAGTCGATATTTTTTACATAGATCACATGAAGCACTTAAAATAGAACACTGCAAAGGAAAATAAAGATATTGAATTACAATATTGAGTATAATTTTTAGCCTCATTTGAGTGAAAAGTTTTCCTTTTTTTTGGTAATTTTGCACAATAGAAATGATGGTTATTGATAAAGTGGAGATCTGGAAATTTTCACATAGGTTATTGGTGCAGACCTTCATCAAATTGTGCACACATTTCGGAAACATTGTTATGTAAAAATCCTTAGTGGGTCTCTTTTGTATTTTAATGTGCTAGTGTGAAAGTAAATAAAAAAATGATTTACTGTTATTCTGAAGAAAATTAATGTCTAAACAGATTTTCTCAAAATATAAGCCACAAAATTATTACACTGAATTTAAAATATTATAATTGATGGCAACAGCTGATGACAGTTCCGCCAAACTGAACATTACCTGCCTGAAAAATGTGTAAACTAATTACCGTCTGTTTGCTTTTGAGAAAGCAGAAAATACTCATAAAAAGTGTACCTAAAGTTTATGATAATTGTCCAAATCCGTATTTTTTGTACTGCTGAATATGTCATATGCGCAAAACACATTTCCCCTAAAAATGTATAACTATTAATGTATCGAGTATAGTTAATCGAAAATGATCAGAGAAGTGGTCAAATCGAAAACTCAGATTTGTCTACTTTTTCGTCAAACCTTAAAACATAAAAAATGAATTTTTTTTTTGTCAAAATGGACAAAATTCTGCTGAAAATATGAACAAAGCAATTAATTATTCTTTTGGCTCAAGAAACCGCTGTATTCTTGGTACACGTTTATAGTCCATAGGATATTCAATGAATAATGTCGTGGGGAAGTTTCTTTCTTTTTCTTCTGTCCACACGGTGGTGTTAAAAATCCTAAAAGTGGTGTGATTTCAGTAAAAGAGGCACCTCATGATTTTCAGTAAAAGAGAGGCACCCTCATGGCACCGCTGTTTGAAATTTTGCAAACTTCGCTAAAATGGTTAAAAAAGTAAAGGCTTTGATTGCTACTGTGACTGCAAGATTTTAAAGTAGTTAAATAGATTAATGCGTTGGTATCCTGGTGGGGAGCTGCTCATACAATTCTCAGAAATGATTTTAAAAATGAGGAAGAAATGAGTGCCAGATGGATACCCCATCGCCTTACAAAAGAGTTAAAACTTGCTCGCATAAATAATCTCCAAACAATTGTTGAAACAGTTCCCCCTAAATCACAATCGATCTTTCGCAAATTTCAATCACTGGCGATGAGACGTCGATTCACTTTTTTGATTCCAAGCGGGGAAGATACATAACAAAAATATGGACAACCAAAAGAAAGTCAAGGACCTTGCATATCAAAACGCCACCCATGAGCGTCAAAAAGGTCATGTATGTAATTTTCTTTTCCAATTAAGGTCCTGCTATTCAAATTACCATACCAAAGGGTAAATCTGTAAAAGGGCAAGGTACTTCGTTAAATTAAAGAATTATTTCAAAAAATCGTCGACCAGCAACTGGTTTCCGCTGGTGTTGTTGTATGACCAATGCTTCAAGTCAGACGAATCGGCCATTTTAAAAGAGAATAAGTCAGAAAATGTTGGCGTGCTTCCTCAAAACCCTGCCTTATTCGCCAGATTCTTGCCCCTTGTGATATTTTTTCTTTTTTTCAATGCTCCAAAAAAAACACCTCGCTGGAAGAAAAATATCAAAACGCGAAAAAATTTCGATTCGGCCCATTTTCCAGTATCTGAACAGTATAACCTCGAAATGTTTATGAAACGGATTTAAAAAAATTGGATTAAAAGACTAAAAACTTTGATTATCATATGGTGGTGAGTATTTTGAAGGATTGAGGTAATTATTATTTTTGGCACTGTTTGTTAAGGGCACTTCTGAAAATTGACCCTGTTGCATTTATATTTGAACACCCTCGTAATCACCGTTTGGGCTCGAGCTTCGGCCCTTCGTCGATACAATAACAAAAAAATACATCTATTCCCGACTGACACATTTCAATCAGCAGAAATAAGATCAGCATTATTTGGAATGCGAGATAGTATCTAAATAGATGTATGTTTAACGTGTCATTAGAGACTTTATAAATATTTCTTTTCTTGTTTCCAAGGCGAGGTGGGTCCGCGGAAACGTGAGTTAAGTTTATATACATGATTTACCAAAAAAAAAAGTTTAATCCAGACCTTGATTTAGGCCTATATTTTTTGGGCATAATCCAAATCAAAGGAGGTCATTACACCCTAACCCCTAAATTCTGAGAGTACCGGAGCAGCTTTTTATTCACTTGCAGCTAAATTGGCATAAAACCATCATTGATAATGGTAACTATCAATGAT